GACAAGGTTCCTGGCGGTGAGGACAAGGTTCCTGGCGCTGAGGACAAGGTTCCTGGCGGTGAGGACAAGGTTCCTGGCGGTGAGGACAACGTTCCTGCCGGTGTGGGCAAGGTTCCTGACCCTGAGGACAAGGTACCTGACGCTGAGGACAAGGTACCTGACGCTGAGGACAAGGTACCTGGCGCTGAGGACAAGGTTCCGGGCGGTGAGGACAAGGTTCCTGCCGGTGAGGACAAGGTTCCTGACGCTGAGGACAAGGTACCTGACGCTGAGGACAAGGTACCTGACGCTGAGGACAAGGTACCTGGCGGTGAGGACAAGATTCCTGGCGCTGAGGACAAGGTTGCTGGTGCTGAGGACAAGGTTACTGGCGGTGAGGACAAGGTTCCTGGTGGTGAGGACAAGGTTCCTGACGCTGAGGACAAGGTTCCTGGCACTGAGGACAAGGTTCCTAGCGGTGAGGACAATGTTCCTGGCGGTGAGGACAAGGTTCCTGGTGGTGAGGACAAGGTTCCTGGTGGTGAGGACAAGGTTCCTGACTCTGAGGACAAGGTTCCTGACACTGAGGACAAGGTTCCTGGCACTGAGGACAAGGTTCCTTGTGGTGAGGACAAGGTTCCTTGCGGTGAGGACAAGGTTACTGGCAGTGAGGACAAGGTTTCTGGCGGTGAGGACAAGGTTCCTGGCGCTGAGGACAAGGTTCCTGGCGCTGAGGACAAGGTTCCTGGCGCTGAGGACAAGGTTTCTGGCGGTGAGGACAAGGTTCCTGCCGGTGTGGACAAGGTTCCTGACGCTGAGGACAAGGTACCTGACGCTGGGGACAAGGTACCTGGCGGTGAAGACAAGATTCCTGGCGCTGAGGACAAGGTTCCTGGCACTGAGGACAAGGTTCCTTGCGGTGAGGACAAGGTTACTGGCGGTGAGGACAAGGTTACTGGCGGTGAGGACAAGGTTCCTGGCGGTGAGGACAAGGTTCCTGGCGGTGAGGACAAGGTTCCTGGCGGTGAGGACAAGGTTCCTGGCGCTGAGGACAAGGTTCCTGGTGCTGAGGACAAGGTTCCTGGCGCTGAGGGCAGGCTCTCAAACTTGTCCCCCCTTGGAAATTCCAGGCGGCAAGCAGGCTAATGGAATCTTTTTTGTGTTTTTAATTACTGTACAAAATTTCAGATAATTTACTTTAGTTTAACTATTCATTTTTCCCTAAAAAATCTGCCTTTCGCATTCTTAATTAATGCCTTTACCTTATTTGCATATTGCTGACATAAGCAAATTAGGCAAAGGCATTAATTAAGCATGCAAAGGCTGATTTTTTAGGGGAAAATGTAAGTTTGCGTGAATAGTTAAAGGGCTTAAACTAAAGCATTTTTTCTGAAATTTTGTACAGTAATTAAAAACCCCAACAAAGTTTCCATCCATTAACTCAAAATTATTAGCTTGTTGGCAAAAAACACACCCCCCTGGTTTACAAAATTTGAGTTCGACCGTACCCGAAGAAACTATATATATATATCAAAAACTGCATACTAATGGCTTTTTTGCGAAATTGAGAGCAATTTCAAATCTGTTCAGTTTTTTTTATACACCCTGTACAATACCCACGGGGATACGCAGTCAATAAAATGACGTAATTATTATAAAGCCGTGTTAATTGGGGGATATGGGGACACGCAGACATACTCGTATAAATGTAAATGTTATCGGTATTTCACGAGTATGCCTCGTTCTTTAAAAGACGTGATTTAAAATGCACGCATTACACTCATATATAAATATAAATGTTATTACTCCGAGTCTCCGAACACAATTAGGCCTATAAGAAAAATCGGCACGAACAGACTTGGCCTCGTAGCTCAGTTGGCAGAGCATTGGACTAGTATCCCAAAGATCGCGGGTTTGATTCCCACCGTGGTCAGGCTAACTTTTCAGCCTGCCCGGTGTGGATACATACTCAGAGTAACATAAAAAACATGATTATATTCACCTAAATACGGATCAAAAACACAAAAAACAATATTAATTTTTCTTTATTTTTCCCCCCATTTTGTACGCGTGCATGTAGTTGGTAGCGGTTAGAGTAGCTGTGTTTCGTGTGTCCATTGCAATTGCTTTCAATGTTGTTAGTTCGATGTTGTGGTACTGACTTGGGGTTTATGATCAGTGAGTTTCAAAAGCGTGCTGTAATAAGACAATGAAATGTTTTAAAATTTTCTCTCGTCTGCCTTTATTAACTTTCAAACGTTTGGCCGGTTACTGGGTTTGGTTATCGGTATAAAAGTTAAAGTGATATTAATTTTAAAAAGTTTTAATAATCTGTTTGAATATTGAGTTGCAAACTTAACCGCTAATAATCCCAATTGTGATCGTGGGCACTGACAAAGAACGCCCGGATGTAGTAAAATGGAAATGATTCGTTCTACTATCTGATTTCATTTCTACTATCTGATTTCATTTCTACCACGTCTGACCGTAGCAAACCAATCAGAATGCAGTATATGCTAATTGTCGCTACGGTCAGATTCGACCTTAATGAATCTAACTGTAGCGAGAATTGACCATATACCGTAAACCATATACCGATGGGCTTATACAAGGGGGGGGCTTATATACGGGGGGGCTTATACATGGACGATCGATCTTTTGTGTTAGTAATAAACAAGCCAGTCATAAACAGGAAAATAAACATGTATTATTGTCGATTTCAGGTAACTTTTCAACACGCTGTTTCCAAGTTCGTTGCGAACTTGCCAATTACGTTGTCAAGTTCGGAAGTTGGGCGTGAACTTCGCAACGAAGTTCACAAGTTCATTTCAAAGTTCGAACTTTGATTGTAAACAAATGTTCATAGTTGGAGTTGAAATTACTGTATAAGGCCCTATGCACATATTACTGCAGTAAAATATTGGTCCAGTGGTATCCCAAGACGAAAATGCCTTTTTAAATAAATTTATAAATGAAATTTTTACATTTGTTTACAATCGAAGTTCGAACTTTGAAATGAACTTGCGAACTTCGTTGCCAAGTTCCCGCCCAACTTCCGAATTTGGAAACGTAATTGGCAAGTTGACAACAAACTTGGGAAACCGCGCTTTGAAAAGTAATCTGAAATCGACAATAATAAGGGGGGCCTAGGAATCTTGGCCCGGGGGGGGATTTCCTGGGGCACCGGAATTAGTCCTCAGTTTTACGATACCGGCACTGAACATCGGACTCTCGTCATGACATTTAATCCAGCAACTTCAGTAGTTCTAAAACTTCTAATGCACTTGAAATTGCGATTATTTCCGTGGTGCTAAGCGAGTAAGACGCCACACCCCCTTTCTCTGTGTTCTATGCAAATTGCTTTATCGCCAATAGTGACGTCATCTTGAATCGCCGTGCATTGGGAAAGTTACCTAGCCAGAGATAGGGCAGATTAGAAAGCTGTTTTGTCGTTTCGAATCTTCGACAAGTCTTATTTGCCAGCGTGTACAGGTGTGACTTAACACATTTTCAAGTTTAATACTTTCTACCCTGCTTGGTAAATACTTTCTCGTGTGCAACAAAAAATTTTCGCACGTTTTTCTTCACAAGTTACCTTGTTAAAAGGTTTTTTTTGTTTTACTTTGAAACTTGTGATGTGAACGTCAAACGTTCACATCACAAGTTTCTACACAGAGATAAATGTCGATGCGAAGTCGTCAAGATTTAAAACTTAACAAGCAATAACGTGATAACCATCCAATGAATATGAAGAAACCGTAATTGTTGTGTATTTTTATTCATAATTATAACTACGCTATATCATTTTTAACATTTTTGCATAATGATATTTCCTATAAATTTTTAATTCCGGCTATATTACAATTCTGTGCGCTTCATAAGACTCTCGTTAAACCACTTCATTTTCATTCTCTTCCAAAACTTGATATTGATATTTGAACGGCTTTCCTCTCATTCCTGCATGTCCGCGAGAATGGAACTGGTTGTTGAACATTCTTTTTAACTAAGAAATAGTGACAAATAAAGTGTTGTTAGCTGTGTTCATTGGACACCTAAATTTCGCTGCAAGTGCGTAGCCTACCTCAAACGAGTGTGTTGGGGGGGGGGGATCGTCGAATACAAGATTTACCTGAGCTATATCTTGCATAATTAGAACTCCAAAGCAACATTTAGCTGTATAGATGTCTATTGAGATCTTGTATTTAGGATTTGTAGTATACCATAAGGCACATTTCATGACTCAAAAAGGGCACGTTCGCCTGAAAAAAAGGCACATTTTGGTGTTTTTAAAAAAGTGGACCGTTCCGCGGCCTTTGATCGAGTATTTCTATTTTTAAAGGGAAATGGCAATATATTTTTTATTTTCTCATTTGAAAGAACTTTTAAGGCTATCTATAATACTCTTTCACCGTTTTTTCATATCTCGCTTACTTCTACAAATATTTTGATCGAAAGGAATGAAATGTCCGCCATCTTCAATTTTTGTAGATATGCATGTCACGTAATATTTTTATATAGGCAACTACTAATCATTTTGCACTCAAAACTATACTCTGTCTGCCAGCGAAATACCAAGGTCATGCACTAAAGGTTTTGCTTTTAAAATATCCACCAATCAATATTTGGTCAGCAACGAATACTTTTAGATGGTTAATCCCTGTTGTGACGTCACCAAAACTACCGTTAATGAGATCAAAAATCTATCCAAGATGGCTGATATATCATTACTTCAAGTGAAAATATTTCAAGAACTAAGCAAGATATGAAAAATCGGTAAAAGAAGTTAATATATAGTTTCAAAAGTTCTGGCAAATGAGAAAATAAAAAATTATATTGCCATTTCCCTTGTATTTTAGACACATTTTATAATAAGTACAGATTACTAACATCATTACCGCATCATTTCACTACAGTTGCAAAGAACTTTTCAGGTTATGAATATGCAATCTGCAAAGATATTGGGAGGTCATGCAGTCCCCCAAACCGGCTTGAATTTTTTACCATGGAGGGTGAGCCCCCCCCCCCTAACTATGGTATTATATAGTTGAGTCATGGTCATCCTTACTTGCAGCTTCAAAGTTAATTAATAATCCGAATCACGAAGGACTCAACTTGGTCGAGTCGAAGGGCACCTCTGGTAGCCACCTTGTGACTCATGTCTGATGACGGAATAGTCGAACTGATTTCGCAAAATAACTGAACTGTAGCTTTATTTATACTAGATAGCTCTATCAGTTCTAAAATGTTCTGCCTGTAGAGGTCCAGTGTTAGCCCCAGTGTTACTGCATGCATGCATGCAGAACCAAATCACAACCAGAGAATCAAGTCATGCACAAACATTTTTGTAGATAATTTATATAAGGATAACACCTCTTTATCTCTTTTTCACATGTAAATTTTTTTTATATTTCACAATAAATTGTGATTGTGTGAAAGCCACATTGAATTTCATTGTCGTAGGTGAGTTGTATGCTTGACTTACACAGTACAACTCAAGTTATAAGCAGGTTGCATGCGACAGTTTCAGGCAAAAGTTGGGTCACTATAGTGTAAAAGAATAAGTACTATATATAAAAAGTTCTATACCACACCTTAATTTCGTCGCCAAATCTCCCAGTTCCCGCCGAGTATGCCTCGCCGCTCTCTGGTAAAACCACTACCAAACATAACAAGAAAAGGACTCCAAAAATATAACCCTTCATTCTTCTATTTTTCTCGGTCTTCAGTCTAAGGAACTATACACCTAGAACTTAATTCACTGAACTGTTAGCTTAACACCAAATTCACGACCTTTTTATACCCTTTCAGTGTCCTTTAACAATTAAACACATATGCATCTGCATGCGTTACAATTTGTCATCCAGTGCATCTGTTTAAAGTAAATATTTATTTTCTTACAAACGGACGCCAGCCTTTCAAAAACTATACCGTGTCAATTATTTTCATTATTATCACATAAGAAACAACGAAAAAGGCAATTAATATGCTGCATTTTGGTTTGTTTTATCTATATTTTAAAATAGTAGAACAATGATACTAAATGCGTTCACTGTTCGCGTTTTGGAGTAAATGTATATATATGCCACTAGTTTATGCACTGAAGTTTAAAATTCAAATATACGTTGTCAAATAAACAGACAGAATGTCGTCTCAGTTTAGTTCAATAAATTGCCAGTTGATAACCCGTTAACTCGCAGTGTTTGATGATGGCATGTGTTTTGCAAAACATGCAGAATTAATGAATTTGAAAATGCGTTCAGTGGGCTTTGAAAATGTTCTTTTAATGGACCATTTACATTATAGACTAAATTTTGATCTAGACAAAAATTTCGTCACAGCTTGAAAGAGCATCGCAAAATTAGTAGTATTCCAAAGTTTCGTTGCGAAATGTTGTAAAATGCGGATAATATAGCCATGCGAAGTTTGCCGTTTTTCAGTCATTTTGTATTACAAACTGGAAATTGATGGCCCCAACACCCGATTGGGCTGTCAATTTCCCGTGCGTAATACAAAATGACTGAAAAACGGCAAACTTCGCATGGCTATATTATCCGCATTTTACAACATTTCGCAACGAAACTTTGGAATATTACTAATTTTGTGATGCTCTTTCATGCTGTGATGAAATTTTTGTCTAGATCAAAATTTAGTCTATAATGCAAATGGTCCATTCAATCAAATCTTTTGCACTCTCATCAACTCTTAGGGACTTTCAACGACTCTTGTGCCACCTTACAGGTAAACTACGTGAAGCGTTCCTCTTTTGAGTTCCTAAGTTGATTGCAATTTTCGTCATTACCTTAGCAAATTTGCAAAACTCCCTTGCAAATCCCTTGAGGGAATTTGCAATGTTGCTAAAAGCAAAAAAAATTTCCTCAGTTCCTGTTAGAAGTTCTTAACTTCCTGTTACAAGTTCCTAACTTCCTGTTCTGTTCTGGGCGTTGCAATTGGCCAACAAAAATAATCGACCAATAACAACGCTCAGAACAGAACAGGAAGTTAGGAAATTAAAACAGGAAGTTAGGAAAATTTAAAATGAAGTTTGGAATATTGCAACAGCCGATAGGAACATTGCAAATTCCCTCAAGGGATTTGCAAAGAGTTTTTCAAATTTGCAAAGCTAATGAGGAAAATTTCAAATGAGTTACGAAGTCAAAAGAGGAACGCTTCACGTAGTTTACCTGTAAAGTTAAAGTTTATCTCATGCGCTCTCGCACACTCTCATAAATTCACATGAGATGTAATTTCAAATCCTCCATTCAGACTGGACTAGATTTCAAATCCTCGCATTTTGATTCAGTCCTTGGACTTGGTCATTAGGGAGCTTTAGATTTGACTACGAGTACGACAACGAGTACGAGATTTGATCGCGCGCGAGGAAATTACCGTAGTCGTTTTCGTTTCCATTCAAATGTTGCTTTTATAGCAGTAAACCAACATCGAGAGAAAAAGTTTCATAAACTAAATCTCCTGCAGACTAAAATCCCCTACAAAACGTGAAAATAAGTCATAACATTAAAAACAGGCCAGATATTTAGTACTAATATATTATTTGCGCCGGATAAACGCCATATAAATGCTACAAATTATTTTTGGTAAACAAAAAAAAGTCAACTTTCTTTTTTTTTTGAAAAGTCGTAGTGAGGACTACGAGATTTCTCCACAATTTCGTACTCAGATGGGCGACGGCTACGACTTTTTCGCGTCAGTACGGGATGGCGTAAGCATACAGCATGCGTTTAGCTTGACGAATCTCGTACTCGTAGTCGTACTCGTAGTCAAATCTAAAGCTCCCTATTAAGTTGCGCGCGGACTTGAAATCTAGTCCAGTCCTCATAGTTGGCTTAGAAATATTACATCTCACATGCAGCTGAGGTGAATTTGTAATGATATTGAAAAAATAAAACCCTAGACTGGTCACCCCCACATTTTGAAATCGTTTATCTACTTTCGATATCCGGAAACGGGGAAGATCTTCTCGACACAGCTTTGTCAGAATAACTAAATGTTTTCTTGAAGTTAGGTATACGTTTGGAGCCACTTGAATAAATATTTGATGAGATTCATGAAACTCCTCGTTGAATCGGATCTGTCAAGCAATTCTTCTTTCGAACTATCACTGAGTAAGAATCGAAACAACTGATTAAGGACTCCTAGGGCGCTTTCCATTTAATGGCCTGACCAGTCAGACCCGAAATTTTGTCTCTGTATCAATGGAAAGGTCTGTTCTATTTTTCTCAAATATCTAGCGAAAATGGACCTCATTCTAATTTTATCTAAATTTTCCGGTCAGATAGTCCGAAGACCAAACCTTTTGTGTTCCATTCAACAACTTGACCGGTCTGTCCGAGTTAATGGAAAGCGCCCCTATACAAAATGTGGAACATTTTGAATGCAAAAAAACTATACGAAGGCCTTAGCTGCCCCTAAAAGACCTTAACTTTTTCACTATGTTATAATTTTTGTTCTAGTGTGGTAGTGTTTTAAATTTGCATAAGCAGGTGTACTTATGAGTGTGTGCTAGTCTACACACAAGGTTTAATGCTTTTTTTTAATTTTGATTATCCATTATGTAACTAAGCTTATTTTACATACTGGACACTTGTCAGTTCTAATTGGTATTCCCAAGAGGTCCAGTAAGATCATCCCTCCGCTGAACTGTTCTTCCTAGAGGTCCAGTGAGGTTATCCCTTTTTGATCCAGTGTTACTAGATCAAACTTTGTTACTGGATCAAACTTTATTTATACTAGATAGTTCTATCAGTTTAAGTTGTTCTCTTAATCTATAGAGGTTCAGTAATGGCATCTCTCATTGATCCAGTTACTACACGAGGAAACGTATAAACTATGCTAACTTTATTTATACTGGATAGCTCTATTAGTTCTAAAGTGTTCTCCCTAGAGGTCCAGTAAGGATCATCTCTTATTGATCCAGCATTACTACACGAGAAACGTAAACTAAACTAACTTTATTTATACTGGATAGCTCTATCAGTTCTAAACTGTTCTCCCTAGAGGTCCAGTAAGGATCACCTCTTATTGATCCAGTGTTACTACAGCAGGAAACCTAAACTAGCTCTATTTATACTCGATAGCTCTATCAGTTCTAAACTCGTGCTGTGCACTCGTGTTTTATATCTGATAAAGCACTGCCCCTACGCGTGCTTTAAATAGTACTTAAATAGAGTGGTGTACTGTAGTTCAATATATTTCTTGCTCCTAAACGTGATAACATTTCGGACCACCAGCTGCTGCCCAATGATGTAACTCTTAATGAAGTAAAGTTTTTGACATGGTAAACATGTTGTCAATTGGGGGAACAACTTACTATTAATTGTTCTACACCCAAAGGAAAATATTTGTCTTTGACTCACGACATTTGACTTCCCAGGCGGGATAGTTTCCTTGACAAGTCAATTCATGATGCATGTATTAAATAATTCGCATCAGCAGCTGCAATTTTGCTTACCAGCCATTTCATCCTAAGCCTTAAACGATGAGGGTGTTTTACCAGATGCCAGACATAACTAGCATTCCAAATAAGGTCAACTTTCATTGCGTTTTGGGCTGTAACTGTGCAACAGTAACAGTAACATACAGATGTACGAATGTTTTTTCGTTGGGCTGTAACTGTGCTGTAACTGTGCAACAGTAACAGTAACAGTAACATACAGACGTACGAATGTACGAATGTTTTTTCGATCAATTGCTATTTCATGAGAAGAGTGATTCAAGTTTGGCTCTGTCAAATGTCGGGTACTCCTGCATGTAGTAACAACACTCGACCAATAAAAAATGGTTAGTTTGTTGCTCTCGGTTGTACAGTAAAAAAAAGATAGCTTGTTTGTGTGTACGAATGTTTTTTCGATGAATTGCTATTTCATGAAAAGAGTGTTTCAAGTTTGGCTCTGTCAAACGTTGGGTACTCCTGCATGTAATTTATTTATTTATTAACTTTACAACCATACATAAAATAGACTAAAAAACTACATAATATGGTTGAAGGTATGGTCAACAGGACATGAATAGCCCCATATGAAGACCAACCTTAATGAAAACAAACTATAACAAACATAAATCAAAGACGATAACAAATATAAAATTTACAGAAAACATGACGAATTACGAACAACAGCTTAAGTTGAAAGAGCGGCCAACAGCTTAAGTTGAAAGAGCGGCACTTAGAACAGAAGGTTTTCCAAGTGCGCATTCTGTTTACATCGAAAGAAGAATGCAGTAGAGAAGAGTAATGAACAGTTAGTCTGTTTTTAAAGGAGGAAACGGATGAACTGTTACGAATGGTAGGAGAGAGATTATTCCAGAGAAAGACAATTCGGTTGAAAAAAAGAGTTCCTAAAGAGAGAATTCCTGCAATGATTGACACGAAGCAAGTTGTCCGAAAATAACACTGGACCAATAAAAATATATATTGATTATTGAAGTACACTTTAGATGGCTTTTCACGCTGGGCGTCTGTCTCGTACTTGAACTACTGAGGGGCTGTTTACATGATCTGCATGTTCGTCGTTCTGTTACACTTTACATTATCTTTTGTTTTGTTATAAAGTTTATATTGGCTCAGTTATCACGTATGCGTGACTGGGGACAGTTGCTGTAGCACAGTACAGTAAATTTGCTTGTTAATTTAAAGTACACTGTATTTGAAAATACGGCTGTATTAGTGTACAACAACCTCGACATGTTTACGTATTTAACCATGATATTTCACTAAAGCATTCTGATTATTTTCTCGACACGTGCTAACCGTAGAAGTTCCGCTTAAGGGTGGTGCTGGACTTCTTCTGCGGAGGGGGTGGGGTGCTCGCCACCATTAGGTGGGGTGCGCACTCTCGCGGTAGATCCGCCCCTAGGATCATGTATACAGTCCCTTAATTTAATCATACCACATTGAAATTATACCACATTCATTTTTTAATGTACGTTAGTCAATATTACCCTGTACAACAAATTGATTTAAGATGTTAACAATTTCTCCAATTTTACTATGAACCCTCAGAGTTGCCAAACCATCTGCCCTTGTTTCACCTATATTTACAATAGCCAATGGCAGCTTTCGTTCATTTGCTGCAACTATAAACCTATAAGCCGAATACACCTGAAGACTGGAACCCAGTGCTAGGACAGCGTCCGATTCGCTAAGGCGTTCGTGCACAAAGTTCACTCTGTCACGTGGGACATTGTCTCCGAAGAACACCACATCGGGTTTAAGTACCCCTCCACAGTTCCGGCAATCCGGGACTTGGAAATCCCTAACGAGATCGTCGCTAAGTAAAACGTCGCCATCGGGTGCAGCAATGTCAGCAGAAGCATGAAAATGTGGGTTTTGTTGCCTGATTGCTTCTTGAAGGTCGTGTCTGTTGCTCTTGTCTCCACACATTAGGCATATTACCCTAGAAATGATAAAGGCACATACTGTATATAGTCACTTTAATATAATGCCAATTTGGGGTGGGATGTTGGCAGCAGTATAGTGTGTTTTCCGGGGGAAACGCCATCCTCCCACGATTTTCACTGGAGGAACGGCATTCCCCCTGACAAAACTCGAAAATAGTAAATAAGTGGGGTGTGCTAATCATCCTTACTTGCAGCTGAGAGCTAAGCTGAATTACGAGGGACGCAGCTCGACCTGATCGAGTCGACGGCTTTCTGAGGGCGCTTATGGCAGCCACCTTATGATTCAGGTCTAATCACAGAGCACAGCTACAGTGGAAGGGTCAGTGAAGAGGATAATCCCAACCCACCCTGTCAACATTCCCTGTGGAAGGAAACCGGAGTACCCGGTGAAAACCCACGACTTTCGGTAGAGCGTTGACTGACACTTTTCACATAAGTGTCATGAGTCCGTAGCTAGCGAGAATCGAACCCACGATCTCAGAGGTGAAAGGCGCTTGTACCACCGAAGCCCTGTTCCCCCTCAGGAATCAAAGATGCCGCACAGGCAGAAGATGCTCTATGTGTACATATCTGCAGACTTGCAGCTTGAAGATCAGGCTTTGTTCATACGCCGAGTAATTCATGTACAATAGCGTGTTGAAGTTTGATTACCCTTTTTTTATACACCCTGTATTTATACTAGATCAATGGCAGTTCACCAACTCACAGTCTCACAATACAACTGTACAGGACCTGTATTTCCTGTGTTGATGTAACATTGGAGGGTTAATTAGGCACCCCCTGCTCTCCCCCTTCGCTCTGACTGAGACAATAGGGACGGCAAACTGCAAACTTCAAATCGCATTTGAATGTACAGTAAAGCCTACAATTTATGCTTCAATTTTAGTGCACAAGTTTGAATAGCGCATTGTTTTTCTAAAATGGAAAATTCTAATGACGTCAGCAATTGACATAAAATAACGATTTGAAGTTTGCAGTTAGCAGCCAGCTATAAAAGTCCATCTGACGGTCTTTAATAAACCATAATGGGTGTTAAATAGCCTGCTCGGTGTATTTAAAACAGTATACCTGCTGGTAGCACCATGTAACTCAGTCAACCTTGTTGAGCCTGCCTTAGAATGCAACAAATCAACATTTTGCGTCACCAGCCAATGTAATTTTCCCGCCCTTTCAAGATCTGCCAAAACACGATGGCCTTGGTTAGGTTCGTGTGATGAAAATATTGGCCAGCCAGCATAGTTTCGTGCCCAATACCTCTGTCTCCTGAGAGCACTCCTGACAAAATCCTGGTGCTGAACAGGTCTGTCGTTACTGACTGCATATAGTCCAACCCCATCGGACCTATAGTCTCGTATTCCTGATTCAGTCGAAATTCCCGCACCGGTTAAAACGAACAATCGTCGACTCCTGTCCACAAAGTCTCTTAACTGTAATAAAATATTATTGTCCGCTTGGGTGTTGTTCGTAGGCACAAATTGTTCACTGACTGTATCACAACTCCTTAGTTTGTAAAAGACGTTAAAACTCCGACTTATTGAATAAATAGATGGATTTTTTAAAACAGTCATGATTCTTGAATGCTTTCACGTTGAATGTAATAAATTACGTTCGAGATTTGCTTGGAATCTCGTGGAAATTGCCTTTTAAAAGTTGGTATATTTAGACCGCCATTTTGTCACTAAATAATAACGGGGGGGGGAGGGGGATTATATGTCATACGTGATATGGATATGGTCATATGGTAATAGAGATTTACGGAATAAATTCTGGGAAAATTCTGGCGGTGTTTAATTCCAAAATATTTGCTGGGAAATTGAAACTGCGTCGCAGAATTACGATGTGAAGAAAACTATAGAAAAATATTCTAGGAAAACTCATTCTCTAAAGTTTACATTATAAAACAGTTTACATTTGGGTCTAGACATGCAAAAATCATGGACATCCTGACAGTGCTGTGTCATTAAAGCATGCCGAATTTGAGTTCATTGATGATCAATTGGTGGATTTGAAAAGTTCTTTGTGTTTTATGTAAATTTCGGTTCGAAGTTCAGTAGTTTAATCGGGTGAGTAACTCGTGGGAGAAGCGAAATATATTTGATGGCGTTTGCCGCATCACCGTCTGCTAATCGTGTATAGACATTTTGCTCTATTTGTTGGAAAATCGAACTGTACAAGAGTAACAAGACAAAATCAATTATTCAGGGACAAAGAGTACGGTAGTACGATTAAAGTGCAACACTCTTCAACGGAAGATGCTTTTCCATAACACAAGTGGGCCACAACTTTTCCCCTCAGTTGTGAATCCCGCTTTATGCGAAAAGCCAAGCAATGCTTCGCCTGATATGGTATGTTTAGTTGTTTGTTATTGTATGTTTATTGTACTGTGTGTTTAGTTGTTTAGAGTCGAATATCGCTTTCGGTTTATGCCTATTCTTTTGGTGAATGTCTGTGTTACTGTGTACAAAGCTGCACAGCATGTGGCCGGAGGTCCAGTGTTTAAAATGTGACTTACGTGGCAGGCTGTAACTTTAATTAGTACAGTAATTTGTTACAAATTTGATAAATATATCGAACTAGTTTGCTATCTGACACTACCAAGAGTATAATAAATTGGTTAGCAAAAATATAATATCTGTGAATATTATGCTGAAATTAAGTACATTAATCATGCATCCTTAAACTATTATGTAACTCATTAACATGTTTAAGTGGGGAAAGCACTTAGCCTACTTATCTATTTATACAGTAATATATTATCTAATCTATGTTTACTCCGTCTTAAATTATGTTAGGTGGTAATTTTAAAATAGTTAGTACATGATATATTTTGAAGGGACTTGTAGATGGAAGTTATTGACGTAATTACTAAAAAATCCACTGAAACCACTGAACTGTATACAAGTTACTAAAACATGGAATGAGCCCATGGATTGTTGTGAGTCGTTGTGGATCATTGTGGCTTGTTATGGAGTTGTTGTGGATCGTTGTGGGGCCATTGTGGCTGGTTGTGGATTGTTGTACTGGGTATCGAGTGTATGGAAATCACACTCAGTAACTTCCATCAACAAGACCCTTCAACTAAATATTCAATCAAGTGAACTGATGTCAACAAAATCTTGATATTTACATGATATATTTTATCTGCAGTTAAAGGCACTGGCTGTTATTTACATGGTATCCTCATTTCTAAGGTAATTTAACAGCTAATTTGTATTAATTTTTATTTGTTTATCAAATTGTTTAGAAATTATTAGCTTGAACTGCATACTCAATTTGTTAGTTATAGATTATATATATGAACTCTAATTATATATGTATTAATTTATAATTTCTAGTATCATTGGTTCTTTGTCCATTATTATCTACACTTGCAAGAAAAGAATTGTTTGTAATTCTGAGGTACAATATATGTTGATGTCTATAACTCTAGATTACTTATTGGGTATATTGGGTCATAAGGCCACATAAAAAAAAATAGTTGGTTAGCGTCCCCGCCCGCCCACAAAAAAGGCCCCGCTCAGGATTTTTTTTTATTTTTTATTTTAAAAAGAAAACGACTTTTATTGATCAACGGGCTCTAATATATGTAGTATTTCTGTTGACTGTAATCAATTGTGTTAATAATTTGTGAAATTGCGTGCGAAAATGACGGTATGAATTATATTTTGAAATATATAAAAAAATATCTCTACTGTGCAAGAAAATCCAGTTTCGGACCTAACAGTGAGTAAAATCAAGGCGTTAAAAATTAGTAAAAATTTTTAAAAAAAGCGCCCGCTTGCCCACTTTTTGGCAAAAGCTAAGGACGCTAACCAACTATTTTTTTTTATATGGCCTAATTCAGCATAGATGTCAAGTTAGTCCAGCTTTCAGGTGAAGACTTCAGTCACAGAATAGAGACACAAAGGGCGAATCATCCAAAAAATTGTGTCCATTGCCATGATTCACAATGATTCAATCGTCATCAAAATGCACTGTCACCATGCATGCATGTTCTTAAACAGTGCGGTTACGAGAGGTATTCATCCCCCTGAACGTCTGCTATTTTGAATATTTTCAGGGGGTGAAAGCCCCTAGTACTAGCTACAGGACCATGCGACAGCCAGGGGTGTCGCGAAATGACTCAGGATTGTGTCATACAATAATGACCAACTTTTTCAATGAAAATAACCAACTTTCTCTTTTCTATGTAGTGCAGTTTTTTTATTGGGTGTAATACGAGAGAGTTAATGCAAATCTGCATAGCCGTGTAATCTGCACAATATTAATCCTATGTAATCAGCTAACGATGAATGCTTAACTATAATTATTAATAAAAATACACTTGGTATATTTATTTAAACTATAATTCTTTAAGACTTCTATATATATATGTACAGTATAGGGAAATTATCGTGGCTGCTTGCTAATGCTAAATGCGCAGTCCACAGCATTTGCAGTCTTACGGTTTCGAGTATCTCTGCGCAGGGGCGCGTTCATCCCAAAATATTTTTAGGGCGGGGTGTAAAATATTTCGGGACAGACTTTTTACGTGTTTACATTTGGAAGTGACGCGTATCTCTAGGGGGAATCGTATTGACCTTCGAATCTTCGAAATGGCATTTCTCTAGTGTACCGAGCCATTTGCAATCGATATTTATGTCCACGATTATGTTCATATATCTCTGTGATACTTGAGAGGAGATTGTATAAAAGGTCAAAAAAATTTTGCAAAATTGAAGTCTCTCTTAACTCTAGATCTCCAGAAATGCTATTTTCAGAGTCTTATTTACCTCTTTTGTTTGGTCCTTTTCGTACACCAACTCGGCATATATGGAGCATGGAAACGATGCTGATTCAAATAGTGTTGACAATAAGCATTTTATAACCTAGCTTTCAAATTTAATAATTTATTTGGACACAGAATGGAAACAATCAGTTTGCGTAATGTTTACACCTGATGATCAGGCCTGACAAAATTGTCCGTTAATGGGACCGACTTTTTGGACATTTCTTGAAATTATGGGGGTGAAACACCCCTACACCCCCTCTAATGTGGTGCATCGGTGGTGAAGTGGTTAGCACACTTGCCTTTAATTCACCTCTATAAGGCTGCAGGTTCAACCTTCAGTGAGAACTTCTCAATGCGACTCGAACCCAGTCCTCATGTGAAAAGGGTAAAAGTCAACGCTCTGCCGAAAGTCGTGGGTTTTCTCCGGGTACTCCACTTTTCTCCCACAGGGAAAGTTGATAGGGTGGGTTAGGTAAAAGGGCCCACAGTAATTGGCATATGCTGTTGTGGTGACCCTGCCCTAGTTGGCAAAGCTAAATAAAAAATTTTAAAAAATATTGTGCGCTCCTGTCTCTGCGATAAATGCTAGAATTGCAAGATCTGTGTTGATTGTAAAACTATCAGAGTCATATTGACAAAAATTGGTCCCAAAACAAACTAGCGCATTTACTCTTAATATTTCCTTTGACCAACAACAAAACATTTTGACCAACTGTTTAATGTGTAGAATCATTGGGGGCACGTTGCACCCCCAAGCCAAGCCCCCCCCCCCCCGGTCACCACACCCCTGGTGACAGCATTGCAACGGTTATGACAAAATCATAGCAAAACCATTAGAAATCAGTCTTCTGTACATATATTGGTCTCTATATTCAGTGCTTCAGCTTTGGGACTCAATTACCAGTTGAGCAGGCACAAATTCTCCAACCAAACAGGAAATTACATGCCGTAGCAACTGGGGGGGGGGGCTGCAGCCCCCCCCCCCCAATTAATTTGCCAATAATCATTCTTTTTTCAAAATCATGCAGACCTTTATCATTTAATCCATGACAAACTGCAAAGAATTAAGATATTACCCAATACCCATACTTTCCTGCAACTTATCCAATATATACCGGGTGGCCCAAAAAAAAGTACTCCTGTTTGATTCGTAATAACTTCTAAACAAGTAAAGTTTTTAAAGAGAAATAACTTGCATTAAATAGAGGAAGGACTAACTTAGATTTTGATATATTACAGTTGTATTTAACTTAAAAATTCACGGATATATTAATGTTAAAAATGGGGAGCATATTTTGGAATGTGTCTAAAATTAGCGAAAATCAGCATATCAAATATTAACTCCAGCGTTTGTTTGCTTAATGACATATTAGGCTAACTTGTATTTCAGCGAATTATCGTTAAGGTTTGTAAGGGATATGGCGTAGATTTAGACATCTTACATGTAAGTCTTAGCTCATTGTTTCCTGAAATATGAACGTTCGAAATTATGCAAGTATTTAATATTAGGTCTTTGCAAGCTTAAATGTACATGAAAGACTGACCATGGAAGGCAGGCGCTTAAATTTTTCGTATTCTTAAATAGCCTAATTTTTTTATGTTTTTAATGGGTTCAAACGGACTGAGTAGATTATTTCTCGGTTAGAGCAGGATGAATATTCTTTATTGAAGGAAATAATATTGCTTTTTGCAAATACACATCACCGTATCAACGCTACTATTTTGTTACGTTTTATTCCAAAAATGTTGCATGTCTCTGGGGAGTTGCTTAATTGTTATGTCTTATGGAGTTGTATGGTTTGATTGTGTTTCATATATAATTCTCAGTTTACTCCATGAACTTGCCAAGATTAAGAAACGGCAAAAGAGTTTGGGTGTTCTTAACAAGATTTCAGAACGTTGCAGAAGTTAGAAGAGCTTCACAATTCCGTTGTGACAGCATGCCCTAATTCAGAACTACGAACGATCCAATGACGATCCTTCGCGATGCGGTGGTCTCATGAAATAAGGAAACGTATTCGTGCTAGGAACACACGCGAATTTCGGACGAATGAATCTTGCTTGTATTTTGTAGATATAATAATACTTTGTTTCATAATAAACAATTTGTCAAGTGTCATTTATTTACTGGTAATAGTGCATGTTTCAGTCGGGCAAATCTTGATTAATATTTGATACGCCGATTTTGCATATTTCAGACACATCCAGAAATATCCTCCCGAATTTAAAGATTAATATCTCCGTGAATTTTTAAGTGAAATTCAACTGTAATATATCAAAGTCTAAGTTAGTCCTTCCTCTATTTGATGCAAGTTATTTCTCTTTAAAAGCTATACTTGTTTAGATGTTATTACGAATCAAACAGGAGTACTTTTTTTGGGCCACCCGGTATTATAAATCTTGTAAGTATAATAATATACATGGATGATGTAAAACGTAGAAAAACTGAAAAAAATAAAGTAAGCAATAAAAATACTGGAGACGTGTCGAACATTCTCAAACCCTTAACGAGCAAAATCAGAGGAGCAAAATCGTCTGGTATTAGACACTAGGCCTCCTTCAATGGGGGGCTATAGTTTTTCCGAGTAATTAACTTGGTTTGTTTTAACTTATACGTACTCGCGTACATTCACTGAATTTTGGTTAACATTGCATTAATACGCGGATTACGCAAAAGTCTCCACTATACTTGACTGTTTTTAATAATATCAAATACACAGAGTTCTATGGCATGCTCCGCGGAAAAATGTTGAAATGTAGCTTCTCTGCAATGGCATTCCCTTCGTTCTGGCACAGAATACTATACAGAAGTCCATCGTTTTTTGCGTTTGCGCTATTCGTCATGATTCGTCACTCGGCAAGTACCGTCAACAGAAGCAGTCACCCCCTGGACATGTGCCATTTTGAATATTTCCAGGGGGGTTACTGCTTCCGTTTACGGTACTTGCTGAGTGACGAATCATGACGAATGGCACTTACGCAAAAAAAAACAATGGAGATGGACTTCTGTATAGTATTCTGTGGTTCTGGGGAAGATTTTAAATGACCACCTCGACGATTGAAACTGATCCTAACCATCCACAACAACTGCTTCCAGCCATGACCGCTGTCAAAAACCAACTCGTCTGCATTTATGTAGGCTGTTGGGCTCTTCTCAATTTTAAATTACCCGCAACTACTCGATAGAGTACATTTTCAATATATCTATTCACCAGACTTTTTGAAGTATTAAGTTTCATATTTAAATTCACGTTTGGTTTTTTGCCTTTGTTTTTTTTTAATTTTACACGCCCCCCGTGGAAATCAGCCGTAGTTGACGAGGTCAGCGTGTATAAATAAAGTTCTACTACTACTACTTCTACTAATTCAGATAAATCGATATTTCGGTCCATATCCAAACAGCTCAATTTCTGCCGAATTAATGCAACAATTTGCCGGCTTGTTCGTGGATGGAGGGTGGTTTCCACTTCCCTACACCCTCCTCTAGCGCCACCCCCATGGGCGTACCGGGCGGAGGGGGCGGCAGCCCCCCCCCCCCCAGTTTGTTGGGCAAACAAAGCCAGTCTGGCAATATTCGCTTATTATAAAAATAAATGGGACAAATTCTGTCAATTTTGTGGGAAATTTTGTGGGAAATATGCTATCTAATAGGAATTTTTCGTAATCACTCCTCCCCCGCCCTCCCGTCGACAACAATTTTGGAAAGTTTCTCCGGAAAATTTTTTTTGACAACGAGGGCACAATCCGAAAAAGTCGGGCAAATTTCTTTCCGCCCCCCTAATTTTTTCCTTCCCGTACGCCCCGGCATGGCCACCCCTGTTATTAGATGGAATAAAATAGAAAATTAGGGCATCCAGCGATTTACTATTTAAAGGAAAAAATCGAGGAAACAGGTTCTGCCTAGGATCGAGGGACAAAGATTAGTTTATATTTAAACTGGATATATTTGATTCCCATTGTCAAGGACAAAGTGGTCACGATTTTCGATTCCCGGTTGCACTGCATGTGAAGATATCATGCATTCAATGTTGATCCAAGCTCAAGTGCCCGCTAATTTGTTACGCAATTTTTTAATAAGGGGATGAAAGAAAATTAACAACATCTCTGTTACCTTGTAGACAGCATACTGCAACAAGCTAGTCAAGAAGAAGAATATGAACAATTCAACCGGTATGAAAATATGCTTTGCTTTTTATGTGAATTGGTTCGAGAACTTTTCCATTGACAAGTAAAATCATCTGGGCCGGTTGTTCAAAGCTGGACTAGCGCTAACCCTGGGTTAAAATTCAACCTGCTGTTTTAGTTTGTGTACTTCTGCACGTCTGTTTATTTCAAAACTTCAGAGAAGTAAACTCTTATCGATCCAGACAAGACTCTAAAGAAATATTTCCGAATTTATAGACAAGCTGTCAGGAAGTTTGCTCTGAAGTTTACGTTAACCTACTAGGGTTAAGCAAACCTAGCTTTGAACAACCAACCCCTGTTGTTAGACAGTCTAGACAGAGCAAAATACTGAAGCATCAGATCACGTATAAAGGACAATATAACCTTTTCTTAGGACCTGATTTACACTATCAAAGTTTCTGTGATCACAGTAGGAATTTTGAAGGATTTGTAAGAAATATGTGAGGGAACTAACTTAGTTGTTTAACACTGAGTCAGTTTTCTAAAACATTTCTTAACTTAACAGATAAAGTATGTGAACTAGCTGTATGAACATAACTGATGAATGAGTACCAGCTTTGGTTCAGTTCTAATCAGTAATGGTAGGATTAAGCTGAGCTTAATTATATAGCATCATCAGATAGAAACTTTCTTTTGTCTTAAAATACAGGGAAGAATTTATTAAGCTTTCCATATCATTCTTAGACTTCTTAAGAACACTTCTTCAAATGATTGTAAACAATGTAAGTTGTAAAAATACAGTAGAGACAGTTGTCGAGCCCTAACCACAAGTTCATGTACTATTTAAAACACGAGCAGGAGTGTTTTAGCAGATATGTCTGATAAAACACGACAACGAGTATTTTGAATAGCTTAAAATACGACTACAAAAGAATACTAATTAGGATGAACAATTATATAATGCCTCATGCTTTATCAGATATAAATTCACTCCACGTGACATATTATGGCCGACATGATTTGCCACAAGGTTTATGAATTATTAATGATATTTTAAGTATAAATACTACGGTGATGCCAATGGCAATGTAACGGTGCATGGGTAAATATCAGAAATCGCAGGTTGGATTCCTGCTTACAACTCTCTTCAACAATTGGTTATATCGAACGAGATACCTAAAACCCTGATAATTAAGAGTAGAATCTTTCGTAAGTTTGCCGTTTTTCAGTCATTTTGTATTACGCACGGGAAATTGACAGCCCAATCGGGTGTTGTGGCATCAATTTCGCGTTTGTAATACAAAATGACTGAAAATTGCAAATTTCGCAAGCCTATATTTCGCAACCTAACTTTGGAATATTACTAATTTGGTGATGCTCTTTCAAGCTGTGATGAAATGTTTGTCTAGATCAAAATTTAGTCTATAATGCAAATGGTCCATTCAGTTGTCTATTACTGCAAAGAGTTTATTAAACCATCTTTCAAACACTCATTAATAATTCATAAGCTCATTGGCAAATCATGTCAACCATAATATGTCACGTGCAGTGGCTTTAAGCCTGATAAAACACTCCTAATTAGTATTCTTTATATAAAGAATACTAATAAGGCAGTATATCTATTGAATTTGTAGTCGTGTTTGAAGCCGTTTAATAAACTCGCAGGTCGTGTTTTATTAGGTCTAAAGCCACTTTAAATCTAATAAAACACTCCTGCTCGTTTATTAAACAGTACATAAAGTGGAAAACTCGGATCGAATATTTAGGCAAAATTAAATAACCAATTTTTTGACAGACTCTGCGCGTTAAAATCGAATCTTCAGGCAAAATAACCAATTTTTTGACAGACTCCGACTCCGTCTTTTCCACCATGCCTTAATCCTATACTTGGTGGAACTGTCATCCCCGAGCCAACGGCGCGGAGCGCCGTTCCGGGCTTAAGCCAGGGGCGAGGGTACTAATTCCCCAGGCTATTTACACCCGGGGAAACGAAAGCATTAATAGCGAAGTTTTAAAGTTCATCAATGATCGCGGGCGTGACCAACGATCTTGAGTGGGTGGTCTGAGCTATGCTTCAGTTTAGTAATGGTATTCATTAAACATACTTACCCAACTAATGACGTCACACGTTGTGCTGAATCAGCAATTTATATTTTACACATTTTTTTTTCGTTCCCCGCAGGAACGAAACGGTACTGTATTTGGTTTTGAGCAATATCACAGGAAGTGACGTCAGAGATCAAAGTTATCCAATCCTTTGCCAGTATTCTTGCTGAAACGTGAATTATATTTAGAATCGTCCAATGAGATGACCGCTCCTAGCATAAGAAGTTTTTTGGAGGCGTGGCGTATAATCGGAAATCTTAGTTAATTATATGTCAACCTATGAGAACATGGTAACTTAACCTGAAGTTCAGGCCCTAATTTTAAATGGGGCCTGACACAAAACCTGT